ATGGTGCTGTACCGCTTCGGCTCGACGGGCGTCAACCAGGTGCTGTCCAAGGCGGCGGGCCTGCTGGGGCTGGTGCCCGTGTTCCCCGTGCGCAACACGGCGACGTTCTCGTCGGGCGCCAGCGACTCCAAGGCCGTCTTCCGCGACTGCGTCCTCGTCAAGAAGAACTCGACCGTCGGCGACGTGGCGCGCAAGGTCATGGGCGACGCGCCCGTGGCCTTTGTCGAGGGCATCGGCGGCACGCGCGTGTCCGAGGACGACCTCGTGTCCGTCGGCAAACACGATGTGAGGGACCCTGCGATTGCGCATGTTACCAGAGGCGCTGCTGACCGTCATTGCAGATCCTGTCGTTCAAAGTGGGTAGAGCATGAACAACGATGGCTCCCATCTCTACCATCTGCGCCGCTCCCCGTGATGTGTGTGATTTTTTCTTCTTCCCCCGTTCTTTCTGCGACCACCAGCCGAGTGATATGCCAGCCATCATGATGCTCCTCTGACTGTGGTGCGGAGTGCAGCTCACTGCAGCGACCTCGAGGACCAACTGTTGTTCGTTCACATCCGGGTTGGAGGCGGTCAGTCACGATATGCCGGGAAAGTACAGGCGCCACACGAGCATGGCAAGCCACAGCAAGCCACAGCAATCCCTCCGCCGCCAGCCGCCGTCAGATCGATAGCGCCGTCAGCATTCCAGAGGAACCAGAGGAACCAGAGGAAGCAGGCCACACAACGTGACGAGCGAGAACAGGTCTCACCTCGCCAACACGCACGCATGCATACATGCATCGCATGGTCGGTCCACGTCTCATGGCGTCTCTGGTGGTCGACTTTGCAATCGCTCTTCCCCTGCGACACCTGACCCGCCCTGCCCTGAGTCGAATCCCTGAGTCGAATCCGGCTTTGGAACCCCTCCCAGCCCGCCGGCGCAAACAAGAAGAAACTGGCATGGCGATGATGGCCGGGGAGGGAGAATGGGAGGGGGAAGGGGCACGGCGCCAATCGCTGCGTGTTGCGAGAAACAACCCCCCACTATGCCGAGCTGGCGTACGCGTCCCATTAGGTCCCAGGACTTGACCCTCCAGGCTCGTGAGCACACACATGCACATAACCCTGGGAGCTGGCGGGGAACGGAATAAGGTAGATAGGCGGCCAGCAGTCGTTGTCGACATGGCCCTTTTTTGGAACTTTCTTCTCTGTCCTAACCTGTAGAATGAATTGTGTGCAGCAGCGAATGGACCAACAGCCCGTCGACCACTTTTTTTTCCCTTCCCCTTGCAAGGCTGGCTGGCATTTTTTGCTTGACGGAAGCGTCGACTTGCGTGATGACTCTCTCACATGCGATATCAATCAGTCTTCTTATTTTCTGCTTCCCATGTCTCTGACCCGTTCGGTTTGGCCGGGCTCGGGCTGGCTGAAGCGGCCGCCCAGAAATAGGACCTCCAGATGGCTGGAAGCTCATTTCGTCAAGTGACATCATGGCAGGGATTTACGTCAAGCGCAGCCTTAGCGTCGCAGCGTCAGAGCGTCAGAGTGACAAGGGCCTTGACCTCCATGCACCCTTTCTCGAGTGCCGTCCCATGACATGGTTGCTTAGCTGAGATTCAAGGCCCTCCCTTGACAGTTTGTTAGTCAGTGGCGATGCACGGAAGACCATCATTCACTCGACGAAAAAAATAATGTAGCGGGCGATGATGGGTATCGATTGATTAAGTTAGAGAGCATTGGTACACGGCGCTTTCCCCTGTCCTTGGGTCCCCCGAAGCGTCCGTCGCAAAACTAAAAGTGAGAGAGACAGAGAGATAGAGAGAGAGAGAAAGCCCGTTGCGGTGAGAGAAAAATGCGGCCGTGATGAGCGTCGATTGATTCTTGACGAATGATGGGCACCCTTGCAGAGGCTCAGCCTGCAGTGGGCCGAAAACGCCAAGGCGAGTGATGAGGTTGGGTTGTTTCCGGCGTTGCCGGGTCGGGGTAGTTTGGGTGAGATTTGGAGGAGTGGGTTGCGTTTTCGCTACTTTGCTACGCAGCCGTGGCGGACGCGCTTACGGAGCACGGTAGTCGTCGGCCATTGTCGAGACTTCCGTTCACCGCGGCGCATCGCATTCGGCCGGTTCGAAGCTCGAGCGATGTCGAAGACGGGCAAGCTTAGTACTTGAGAATGATGTACAGAGCGTGGATGATGCCGGGAATGTAACCTGGGATGATGTGTTAGTGAGATGCTGCGACTACTGCTACGACACGAGGCCGACGAGACCGACGAGGCCGACGAGAGCCAGCGTGGACGTACCGAGAATGGTCAAACAGGATGTTGATGAGGAGATCAGCTCCCGCAGCCGCGCTCGAGGAAGACACCGACGGGGGGCAGGATGATGGCAAGAAGAATCTTGCAAATGTCAGAGGCGGTGAAAGGCATGTTGACTGTTGTTGATGGGACACGAGGTCGGTGCGATAGATGGGTATTGTGTAAGAGTGGTGAGCACAATTGGTTGAAGCTTTGTTGATGGAGAGAAGGCACTGTTGGGAGACATGGAGGGGAGGGGAGAGGGTACAACTTAAATAACGTCCGACGAGGACGAGAGAGGCAGCCGTGTACATGGTACCTTGGCGCCTGCCCACCTTCTGGGCTCTCTCTGTGCCCAGCTCACACGAATAAAGTCCGGCAGGACCAGTTCGTCCAAGTGACGGATGTGATGTGGACGCGCATGGAGCCAGAGAGCTAAAGGACCCTAAGGGTAGACCCAGCCTCAGGTAGGCAAAAGCCATCCCCCCATGCCATGCCTTCCCCGTCGAATCCGTCTCGCCCACACACCCCTGCGAGGCCGCCCCGTCCGGCGCTGTCAGGAGGGCAGGAACGAGGAGCGAACTGCACCACCCAATGTGCGTCATCGACTCCTTCCAGGTTTGCACCCATTGCACGACCACCACCCTACCAGCCCACCTGCCTAGGTAGCCTGCCTAGGTACGTAGGTAGGTACCGCAGGAAGAGAGCTCCCAGCGCTCCTCGTCCTCAGCCAAGCCCGAGCTGTCCACCTCAGGTCTTGCATGTGTATGTGTCCGCCCCCCAGTTGCGCGTCGCGCCAAGCTTCCCGGGTTATGTTCTTCTGCATCTGCGCCGACGGCAGTGCTGCTTCCCTTCGTTCGCCAGCAGCACGAGCAGCACGAAACTTGCAAAGGCCAGTGCACGAGCGGCCGGCCCGGCCAAGGCGAAGTAGCAGCACCCCACCCATCCCAAGACCCATGATCCATTCATGCTGGTCCCCCAACTTGATTGCCCAGCACTACGTCATCTGCCGAAATCCCAGCTGGGCGACTACCGGCATTCTGACTGGTTCACTTCCACTGTCAACCAAAGCCCTGTCAACGTCAACCGACAGAGGCGTAGATGCGACAGCCCGCCTCCGTGCGCCACAGGACGCTCGTCGCCGCGCCACACAAGCTCCATTTTCAAGGCGCAATGATGACGCTCAGCCACATCTGCCAGTCAGGAACCTTGTCAACGAGATTGATCGATCACAAGGCGCAAGCGAAGGATTAGCCAGCCGTCTCGCAAATTGTGGGTAAATCCAAAGGGACCGAAATCTGCGGTTTCCCCTTACTCGAATCGCCTTGCTTGGCTTTTCACTGCGTTGATGTCGGTCTCGCCGCAAATATGACGACAGGGGAAAACACGCCTGCTTGCCGCGCTGCCCCCCCCCCCCCCCCCCCCCCCCGGTGTGTGGAAGGAGGGCAGTGACATGCAAAACAGTCTAGAGAGAGGGGGGGGCCGGCCGCACCGCTTTGTTATTTTCGGCCACCGAGGAGAGAAGAGAGAAAAAGAGGGAAGATTATAATGTGAATGCCGCCCTCAACACTGAACAGTGACCCCATGCCGGACGCCTTGAAAGTGATCGGGCACCGCGGGGGGCGCCCATGAGCAGGGCCGGGGGGCCACATTATGCGCCCATCGGTCGACTGGGGTGGTGCGGAAGGGGGTAGCGCGGGCGGTGCTGTGGCCTGGCGCGGCCGCAGCGCTCTCCTTGAGATGCGTAATGTCGTGAGAGTCGATGTGGCGAGTAGGCACGAGAGGGTTGCACGAGACGGGGCGAGGAACGATGGATGCTGTAAGAGTAGGCTGCGGTAGGGGGGACGAAAAGCGAGCAGTATGAAGTAGTGAAATGTGAATTGGAGCTGCGATCTCCCC